TTAAAGACCAGTGCCCCTGAGTACAGTTAAAGCATGTCCAATGTGAATTATCATTGATAAAATCATTTCAAGATGACAAGGGAGAAGGAAAAGGAGGAGGATGAGACTATCCTAGGGTCAAATACTGTTCTATATTAACATTTTGAAAGGTGAGACAGAGAACATACAAAAATTTCGGATGGTGGGCTATAAGCTAAGGCAGTTTATGTGGAGTTTGGAGGATTGGGATAGAATTCAGAACAGCTTTAAATTAAAGGTGAAAGAAAGCTAATGAGAAGGAATTAATGATCAGTGCAGGTTGTTACATGTTAGAAGAAAGTAAAATCCAAGGAGTAATGGTCAGTAATTGGTCAGGGTGGAGCTGCTTAGGGGGGATCTGGGGTTCAAAGTGCAGCACAGATGGATCAGGTGTCACCCCAGAGCAAGGGCAGTGTCCCCTGGGCTGTGCTAACAGTGCTGACACGTGTTACATCAGCATCTCAGGGGTTTGCAGTGGGAAGGCACCACAGGGGATTGTCCAGACCAAACCTCCTGCTCAGAGCAGCACCAGGATTCCCAGGGCCAAATCCAGCTGGGTTTGGGATATCTCCAGCAATATTTGGGAGCTCCACAACCTATCTGGCCAAGCTGTTCTGATATCTGATCACGTTCACAGTCCAAGAGTTTAAAGGGGCTTTCCTTATTCCAGCATGTCCATTGCCTCTCATCCTGTGCATGGACACTGCTGGGAAGAACATGGATTTGTTGCACTCAGTCCCATCACCCAGATCATTGATGAAAATGTTAAATGCTCTTGGCATTGTTTTCAAATAGAAAAAGGAGGCTCCAGACAATCTACACCTCGTTAACATTCGTGAAAATTCAAGGTACGTCCTCAGATAACCCCTGCTGGCACCTTACCAAGGTAACAGAGGCAGAGGGAATCAGATCTGAGGAACTTTCTGGGATAGAGAGAAGAAGCTACAGGGGGATCAGAAACAAGCAGTTATTAAGGAAGAGAGGTCTGGAATAAACTTCTACCCACATTGCCTAGATACATTCATAACCTTCAGTGCTGCTGAATCACAGAGGGGGGGATTGGTTTGTTTGGCTTTTTACAGACAACCAACCTCTGAAATAATTATTCCAATCTTGCTGGTGCTGGAATTTTGTGTCCAAGTTGGCATACAATGTTTAAAAACAAAATATGCACAAGGTAATCCTAAAGAGAGCAAGAAAAATTAGGAGTGGAGAAAAGATTACTGGGAGGAAAAGTTGAAAAAAGGATATTGAAAAAAGAAAACTAAACAGGCTTCCACTGTGCTAACGTCATTACAGAGAGGATGCAAAGGATGAAATTGGCTTAATTTGCAGACAGAAAGATTTAGGTTAGGGGGAAAAAATGCATAAATCTAAGGTTAGCTTTGGACTTGAGGCTACCTACAAAGTTTAGACAGGTCAGACAAACGTTTGTAACAACAATCCTGCCTCTAAGCAGAACAACAGACTGAGGGAACTCATGAGAATCTTTCTCTGCAGTCTATTTCAAAGGCTGCTTTCCCCTTTCACAAGGTTTCAGAAAGGTTTATGGGATTAAACTTGCAAGAGTTAATAAAATACATTATCAATTCTACCCTGCTTCTTTGTTTTTTCCCATCCAAATAGTAATTGTTTGTGAAAGGGCTGACACTGAAGAGCAACTGCCAGGGTTCATGCAAGTTCATTTCCCATCTGATTGTTTTAATGATGCTTGGTGAAAATCTGTTTTGTGGAATTAATCGGAGCTCTTTGTTCCCTTCGGTTATTTGAATCTGCATCCAAACCCCATGAGCACAGCCCTATGTCTCCCAATGAAAGTGGGGATTGAAATGAAATCGGGGTTGATACAGGCTTTTTTTGAATTTTGAATATTTTCATGATGCTTATATGAACATTTGTCCTTTCCCTTTATGGAAGAGGGAGCATGACAACCCCAAATTTTCTTGCATGATGGTCCAAAGGTCCAAGGTACAACCAAGTTGGTGGCATAGCCCAATCCAAAGATCTCCTCAAGCATTCTGCAACAGGCTCCTCAACTACACTGCCCTTGAAGTGCCATAATTCTGGGGTAACAGACAGAAAAAAAAAAGTAAGAAACGGGTTTTGAACCAAGATAAAAGTGCAGCAACAAGGAAGGAGCAGAACTGCAAAAAGCCTGAAGGCACACAGGGTCAGATGGAACCCGGGGCTTTGCACAGCCACAAACCACTTCAGAGGGTCTGCAGAGCTCTGGTGGTTGGGAGCACCCTGGTGGTGCTTCACTGTTTGGTGCTGCAGGGCATCACAGCTGCACCCTGGTTTGGTCCCACCAGGAGCCAAAGGGAATTTGGACTGAATTCCAAGCACAGCCTTTGGTTTAGCTTCCTCCAAAAAAGTTACCCAGGTTGCTCAAGGTAAGTAAGAGCAATCAAGTGATTTGCTTCAAAATTGCAATCCAAACTAAGCCTCTCCTCATGGTAAAGCCTGGCTTAACCTAATCCACGTTCAGGTGGTCCTGCTTTCCATCCTCCCCACAGCTCCCTGCTCCTGCCCCATCTGCAGGCGTGAGGGAGTCTGCAGCAGGGCAAGGTAAAGTGACCTCAGCAAGATCCAAACAGGGCAGAACTAAAGAGGGAGGGATGTCAGCTCCCAGAGTCTAGAAAGGGAATTTAGGGAGCAAAGAGGTTTCTTCTCAGTCAGCACCTGCTGTGTGTGTTTGAGCCCTAGTGCTGACTGCAGGGAGGGAGGGGGTGCAGCCAGGGGAAGGGGAGAATGTGGAACTGCTCAGACCAGACTCCCATCAGCCTGAGAAGTCACAGAAGCTGCGCTGGAAGAAGTCATGCAACAGTTACAGATGAAAAAGGACTCATCAAAAACTGTGCTTTGATGGAAAAGTGTGACCTCATCTTTCAAGAGCATTATCCTCCAAGTTTTTGCCTACCAGCTTGCATGAGGAAAAGTAAATCTCTCTAGATTGAAGGCCAAAGGTAAGCCTGAGTGCTGTTTCATCTCGTCTTCAGCCTCATTCTGAAATCTTCACACACTGTAAAAACCATAAGCACTGTCTGACATCTGATGCCTGAGTGACTTCAGCTCAGTACCCACTTGGTGGAGAATGTGATTTTGTGAGGCTTATGCAAGGTAGCATGACACTTTGTACATGTGTTTGTGCCACAAAAGAGCATTTTACAGACCCACCTGTCAAAAAATTTCCATATTGGGTCTGCAAATGAAACATCCATCCCCATGAGCAGCTCAGTTCTTTGCTGAGAGGAGCTGTCACTTGCTTGGATCTGCAGAAGAGCCTAAAGCAGAAGCCCATACATAAATCACCTTTTTGATTGTGCCAACAGAAAATCCTCAATCTCCATGCACTCCCACTGCCAATCTACAACCCCATCCCATGGACAGTGGTCACAAACTGTGAGGAAAAACATTCTGGGGAGAAAAAACAGTTGTAAAAGCTGGGCTTGTCCAGGAAAGCTCAGGAGGTGGAAGGACAGGTCGTGTGGACTCTTGCATTGCAAGAAGATTTCTGAGTCACCAAAGCCCAGTGAGGCTGCTCATTGTGTTGGGAGGGAGAGCCCTGGGTGACAGGAACAGGTGCCAGAAGTGCTAAAGCCTTCTCCACATCTTCAGCAAGATTCCTGCAGGAAAGGAGTGAATTTTGCCCCAGCTGTGTCCACTGATATATTTAAAAGAGATAATTCCTACTGGATACAATTGGGAACCAACTTGTTGTACTGGAAAAACAGTGCTGGTGCAGGAATGTTCACACAGCTCCTGCACACAGGGGCAAGAGGAGGTTTATTTTATTAATCCTCTGTGTGCTAAGAGCCTTCTCACTCCAGTTGTTCTCTATTACTGAAGTGCAGAGTGCAGAATTTTGCTGGAACAACAGAAAATGCAGGTAGGGGTGAATGTCACATCCCTGAGTCACACAGATGTTAGAGCTTTCTCATGGAATTTCTGCCCCTCTTGATGAGGGCAGAATTCAGCACATTGCCCTCAAGTTCTCTTCCTACAAAGCTTAAGAAGATGGAAACAGAAAATAAGTGGCTTGTTTCTTCCTCTCAGTGTCTGTGGGACTGTGGCTCCAGCAGCACTGATGCACAAGGAAAGCATTTTCATGAGCTGTTAAAACAGCAGAAGCTTGTTTTCCTTTGGCTGCAGCATCCTTCTGCCTCCCACGCAGGAAGTGTTCATGCAATATTCCACATAGGCAGAATATGTCCCGTTCCTAGAAGTCTAAATACAAGAAACTGTAGCCCATTTAAAAACCAGGCTGCTCTTGGATTAGAAAAGTGAGAGGTAATCTGCTTTCATGGGCTGCAGTTCCCAAATTGTTCTCTTTGTCCCTAGACTCGATGATCTTTGGCCAAACATGTCCCTGGTGTGTGTGTCTCACCTGAAACCCAAAGGTGATGGCCAAAGGTGACAGACCAGGTGTTACTGTTGTGTCATGGACAACCTCCTCCACATAATAAAGACGTCTCTGAAGGAGGAAATTAATTATTCCTGCATTCTCAGTGCACCCAGGTGAACTTCACTATGAGAAAAACAGCCAATATTCCACTATTTCTGCTCTTTTGCACCAAAGCAAATGAGTCAAATGGTTTCAGGAACTGGCCACATCACTGAGATGGAAAGGGCATATTGCATATTCACAAGAACTTAAGATTGTTTTATTTACACTTCCATTGCTAGGGGCTGTGGAATGGAACATAAATCTATTTGCCAGACACTCTTCCTGGTGCAATAAGCTAGAGGAATTCTCAATTAATACATGGAGCTTACATATAAAAGACAAGAGGTTAAGTAAGACTGCAGTGCCCAATGGACCATCTGGTGAACATTAGGTTTGTCAATAAATCACAGAAGCACCAGTTCATCAAGAAAATACCATTTCAAACCACTGACATAAAAAAAAAGATGGGGGGAAAAATCCTCACAAAATTGGTATTTTGATATTTCATAAAAACAGGAGCATTAAATAACTTTAATCTATTTTCAATTATTTTATTGGTTGTCTTCCAATGACCACGTGGCTTCACATCGTGGATGCTTAGCCCTTTGTCTTGTGCATCATGAAATAACTGGGTGCATCAGCACAGGGGAAGCTCCTCTCTTTGCTCAGTCTTTCTCCTCACCATGGGTGATAACATAGCAGAGGTTCTTGTAGTCAAGGTTCCCAGAGACATCTGGAGGGAAAGCAGCAAACATCTGGTTGATCTGCCAAGCAAACAGAGAGAAGTGTCACAGCCTGGGACAGCAACATGAGCACCTTTTCATTTTACAGCCAGCTCAGCTCCCTGCTGCCCTGGTCCTTTAACCACTATGGAGGAGTTTTCCTTGGGCTTGGTAAAACTGAAAACAGAGTTGGAACATGAGTGGTTAATAAAGTCCTGCTAGAATCCCACAAGTTCCCTGTTGAAAAGAGCTCTCCCTGAAACCCAGGTAAGCCCTGGTTGATAAATGTCCAGTCCAGTCTCTGTTCTGACTAGAACTGTGCAGTCTGTTCTGTCCACAGTCCAGCTCCACTCCATCTCCTCTTCTGAAAATAAAGTCCCCTAAATTCCTCCCAACCAGCAGAATCCATGCTCAGTCTCACACAAACCACCAAGTCAGTACCTCATTTCAGATTTCAAACCACGTAACTCACAGAAATGGAAACCAGAACACAGTCCCCACCCAAATCCACTTGGACTCCAGTAAATCAATTGCCCAGCTGCCCATGGGGAAGAACAGCACGAGATAGGCCACACTTGCACTTGGATGGGAGTCCAGAGAATCTGTTTGACTTTGATTTAGCCATGGAGCTCTTCAGAAGAGATGCTTTGAATTGTTTCTAATTGCCAGAGCTGGCATCAGCCTCCTCTCAGTCTGGATTTCAGCTAAATTCATGCATTTAAAGAGGGGCAAGGACTTACAGGAACAGGAGCTCAAGCTGGATTCCTGTTTTGAATAAAGTTCCTTACCTCTTCTTGACTGAACCGGTCTGCCTGTGTCATGAGCATTTCTTTGATGCTGTTCAAATAAAACGAAATAACCTGATTAAAGGGTGATAATGGCACATGACAATTCAGATGGCAAGATCCCTCCTGAAGTTGCATGAAAGAAAATCTGTGTGACCGCATAAATTAGAGCTGTTAATCCTTACATGATATTGTAAGAGATTTTCTGTGGGCACCCATCAGTGTCAATGCCTCGCTCTGCCAACTTATTTCTCTTTTGTGACACTTTATAGAGGTTTAAAATTGTTTAAGGTTATTACTGTAATTGAAATACAGCAATTTCTTATGCTTATCTTAACCTAAAATGGTAGGTTTCCTCACTTGCTGCTTAAAGTTTGGATCACTTAACAAAACCAAAAGAGAGAATATTTTCTGTAAAATCTGAGGATGAAAGGAAGAGAGCATGAAATGAGAAAGAGGACTTGAAAGAGAGCTCCAGCCGCTACTGCGAGTCATCACCCGAGAATGCTTTATTTGCATGCAGCCATTCCCAGGGGAGCTGTGGAGCTGCATGAGCCCTGCTGTATTTCACGGTGCACTGTCTCGATCTGGAGTCACAGCACTGTAACACGGAGCTTATCCCACACACAATCTGCATCCCGTGCAATTACATCAAAGAGGATATTTTGGGGGCAGACTCTCAGCTGATTTACCCTCTGTTTTAAACCCATTGTGGGAAGGCAGTTGAGCATGTAATTTTTAATTTTTTTTTACCTAAGTTTAGAGGTGAATAAAAAAGCCAGAAAGAATTATTTTTGTTTCTAGTCTAACCCCTGTACATAAAATGTCTTTATACCTCCTCCAGTTACTCATGTACTGAGGGCAGCACATACACCATGTGCTGGGACATCTACCAGTATAAACTCACTTATATTCACATAAACATCCCTTCAATAACACCAATAATTTCCTCTTCCTGTAGAAGAATTCCTATATTAATCTCACAGTTTTCATTCACACTGAAGAGGCAGAGTTGTCTCCTTTTGTCACAACCAAATGTATTTATACATTATCAGACACAGCTCTGGAGCAGTAAAACAAACTGTAAAGCTGTGATAACAGGTGAGCAGTTTGTTGTACAAAAACAAAAGCTGAGGCAAATATAGAAATCTGATTTGGTTTGTGGATTTAAAAAAAAAAAAACCTGCTTTTTCAAGAATTTATTGTGGGGGGAGTGAGAGTGGCAGCTCTTCTGGAAGAAGTCCTTTCTGCTTTTTAAAGGGAATATTTTAAATTATTTATAATAGAAATCATGCCTGAACAGGAACATTTGCAGGGGAGCAAAATTCACCTACTGTGGGTGCAAATGTTCAGGCAAAACAGTAAATCCTCCCTTTCTGCACATGAGAAAAGTCTCCCAGACAGAAGTGCAGTTTGGGTGGCAAAGCTACAATGGCACTCACAGCTCTGACAAATGTGATTTTTTTCCAGGAAAAGGCTACACATCCCAATTGTGGCAGGGGCACATACACTTCTGCAGCTCTTGTTGGTCTAAAATGCACATTTGGAAGACCAGAAAGGGAAAATTGAAAACAATGAAGAAGGACAAGTGTGAATATATCTGTGCAGGTTTTGGGAACAGACAGAGCTTAAGCTATTTTGTATATTTTTCCTGAATTACTTCACCATTCTCTGTAGTTAGCTAAGTTTCTTCATCTCTTTGTCTCAAGTTTCTGTTTCTGTTCTGTTCCTCTGGCCATTTGGTACGTGACTGCATTTTTGAAGGAGAAATCTCAAATGATCAGTGGGTGCAAGAGTAGACAGATCATTCCCCTCAGCATAAATTGATTATTGGATATATATGCCCTGGACAAACAGTATTAGCAAATGCAAATGGGAAGTGTGGTCCAGGAAGGAGCTTGGTGAATAGAAGGAAGCACTTACAGCAGTTTTGTCAGAAGTCACAAATAAACTTCATTACAAACAAGCCTGAATTAAAAAGAGATCTGGGCACTGTGTGTCTTCTATTCACATGCTTAAAGTATTTAGGGGAAAAGAAAAGATCAAATATCTAATTATAATCTTCTGATGCACAGCCCAGTAGGCTCTGGCAGACTCACAAGGAAGAAGGACTGACTGAAGGATCTATGCACATTTTCCATTATTTATTTTATAGAGAAACAAACACTCACCATTTCCAAAGCCAGAAATTATGCACTTTTTTTTTTCTTTTTGCATCTTGTTTTCTTTAGAAATCTTATAGTCTTCTCAAAAAAATACCCCAAAAACCAAACCAAACCAAACCCCCCAAAACACACAAAAAAAAAATCCATTTGCTTTGACTTAGGAGTCTAAATGTTATCCCTTATCCTGGCTCACATAAATTCTTTCTACAATTACAAACACCTTGTTGCATTCTGATATTTTAGAAGCCTTTTTAAAAATTATCTGTGAAATCTCTGGGACAGTTTTGGTTTTCCTCTGGGTTTGCCCTTCCTACAGTGCTGTCTTGGAGGAAACCAGGTGAGTGGGAAGGAGCAGAGCTCCACAGCTACGGGGAGAATCATCTCTAGCTCAGCCAAACACCTCCAGAGTCCAGCATGCCTGGGACCTCGTCCATCCCCCTGGGTCCATTTTCATTTGGCCCAAATCTGAAAAATTTCATTGGCCTCAGCATCAGGCACAGTTGGTGTTGGCCTGACTCACTCTGCCCCATGAGTGGCATTTGGGACTGAATCATCCAACCTTTCCAAACATTGCCCCAGTTTACACCAGCTGAGAATGGGACTGGGAGCTTTTTCTCTTTTTGACATCATGCTGTGGGAAGGGTTTTATGTGTGGTATAATGATGCAGACAAACAACGTCTGTCATTGAATTTGGAAGTAAGTTATAAACTCCTGGAGCTTCTGGAAAGGTTAGAAGGCTCCATCCCAGCTACCATCACATGGACTAAGTGAGTCATTTCCAGACTAGAGGTGAAAACACGCAGAGGGAAGAGACATAAAAATCCCCAGAAGGATGTTAACTCCATGAACATAAAAATGAAGTTCTGATTAAAAGGTCAGCATGACTGGTTTTTGAGAGAAACATTCCAGGATTTTTTAATATGGAGAAATATTATTTATTAGCATTAACTGTCGCATTGAAATGGCTGCATGAGCCAACAGAAAAATTATTTCAAAACTTCAAATGTCTACATTTTGGAAGCATATGAATAGAAGTTAAACCTCAAAGACATCCACAGAATTGATTTAATGGTTTGTTCTGTAATGATCAACATTACCCTCGGGTCTAATAAGTAAACATTATGCTCTGTTGTGGTGATGAACTAAAACAATTGTCTAATGTTAGCAGTGCAGTGGGGGTGGGGACAAGGTTGACCTTTTCCATCAAGGAAAAATAAAATATTTCTCTCTCATCTTCATTTTGGAGTGTGATACTGCATTCCTAATTTGCCCCAAACTCCAACTGGCTTGCAGCATCCAAGGAATGTAGATCTGGACACAGGGTGGCAAGCTGCAGATTTTGTATGCAGGATATTGTTACAGATAGTGGTGGGAAATATAACATCTCATGGGTTCTGGAGTATCAGAATTTCGTATTTCATGGCTGTGATTTCACTATTGTGTGATCTGCCCTATTTGGCAAAAGGCTACATTAATTTTGTTGTTTGAGTCACTTCTGATGTGATCCCCTGACTGTTCTTCCCAAGCTGTTTGGGTGATGTTAACCTCAAAACCACCAGGACAGCTCTTAACCCTCTGTTCCTTCTGATTGATTGCTACATCCACTTGTGTTTAATTAATTTGGAAGTTCTTACTCAAAGGACTGTCTCTCTTATTTTGCATATTGCAAAAGTTCTCAGACCCACTGGGGTACTGCCGTAGAAAACCACCTTGGTAAAGGAAAGAAACAGTGTACATGAATTTTACATTTTCACCTAAATTTCATCAATTATTGCAGATAATGTCATGGAAATCTCTACGGGGTTCTGGGCAGAGACTATCACAACATAAGCAGCAATAATTTGTGTAAATACAATTTTGTAACTCATGGTTCCCTTATAGATTTCCTATACATATCATGCTTTATAAAATCTACCTGAAATGGCTGCTGCAGTAGAAGTACAGACCCCAAATTCACCATGAAACTTCAGCATATGAACAAATTTAAACATATGCATAAATCTAGGTACATAAACCACTTCTCTGGAGCAATAGGTCCAATCTCCTTATCCCCTGCACTGATTTGGTATCATTTATCTCACCTACCTGAAAGTCCTTGCACCATTTTGGCAGTGCAAGGAGTGTTTGCATTTGTGCAAATACCTCTTAAAGTCCTTCTACATTGCTTTGTTGGTGTAACAGGATATGAATACAAATTAGGTTCTGCCTCCTTATTTAAAAATAGCCATATTGACAATAATTGCCAGATTATTAATAGTATTATTTGGTTTGGCTCTCACCGTATCTAGTGGAATTTTACAGCAAATTATTTCTAGAAGCAGAAGGCTCAAATGATAAACACATAAAAAGGAAAACGTCCAGCACTAAAACCATGTCTCAGAGTTAATTAAATTGATCACTTTTTTAAAGAGGGGAGTAGCTTTCCCATTTTAGTCAAGCACTGAGAGTTAGGCACCAGACATTCATTTTAATTTTACATATGGAGTTAATTTACAAAGAGTCATGTGTCGATTTATATCCAGACCTTCAAAAAGAGGCTATCTAATGGCCTACATGTGATTATATTTCCGTTGGCTCTTGCAATGTCTGAAGACAATAACATCTCTTTTTGGTATACAAATACATTCATACAACAGTCCAGACTTTTAGCTCTGGCTTACAAAGCTAAATATTTCTCTGCCTCTTAAAATACTGTGAAAAATACAGCTTTTAAGCAGTTCTTTAAAGCTCTACAATTATTATTATTGTTGTTATTCTTCTAAAGGATTTGAAATAAACTTACTAGTCTGCCTTTATGCGGCCTTTTCCTTCTGGGTCGAAAATCTTAAAAGCATTCAGAATGGTTTCTTCTGGGTCCGTGCCTAAAATTAATGAAATATAATTTAGAAGGCTGGATGTATTTCTCTGGCTGCAGAATACTTGCTAAGTAATTACATTCGCTTGGAAACAGTGCAAAATGGAGAATTCTGCAGTTGTGGGTTTGAAGACAAAGGTTCTCTAAGTCGGCAGCATTTGTCATGTCAGATAAACAATAGAGGTGAATAGTTCAATGCTCAGAAGCTTAAAAATAATAACTCATATCTATTCTATGTCTGCAGGAGAGAAAACTTCCAGGAACTGGTCTCCAATATCAGTACCCAGAGGATTAGTGGCTTTCAGAAATGAAAATATAACAAACTGTTTCCCTCACTGGCTTCCTTTAATCTTGCACTGTACGTTCCTTGTAAAAACACTTTTTGATGTTACTTGTTCTTGGCCATATAGAGAAGAGGTTATTTCCCTCACTAAGGGAAATGGAGCTCATCATAAAATCCAAATGCCAATGGAATGCAATGGAAACAGGATGATCAATGTGGGATGGTGATCTGACTTAAATCCCATTGTGCCCTTCCCCTTAAGTCTCTTCATTAAATGTTACTTACAGAAACAGGACGGTTTAAAGAATTAGACTGTGGCTACAAGATTTTGCTTCTGCTCTTAGCTGGGCCACAGATTTTTGGTATGACTTTAATATCCCTGTCCCTCCATTCCCAGCAGTAAAATTATTGTAATGGTCTTCCTTTTCTTCCTTCCATTATCTATCCCATCTCTTTAGATTGGAAAACATTTGTGTCAGGGACTCGTTTTCACAGTGCCTTAATCTTGGCTGGGGCTTCTGTCTATTCTGTAATACTGCAGATTCTGAGTAGACTCATTTTCAACCCACACCAAAGGATACACTGTGTACTCTGTTCCTGACTATTCCCCAATATTTCAAAATACTACCGTAGTATACACAGTACAAATCTTTGTAACTGTAGGAAACCAAATTTACAAGCAGATGAACTGATTCCATGGACAAAATGAACCTATTTGGTATGCTGAAAGAGTGATTTAAAAGGGATACAGCACAAAGGGGTTGCAGATCCCAAAAAAAGTTTGTTTCAAAGTTTGGCAGAGGTAGAACCAGAACAGAACCCAGCCAAGGTTCCCTGCTCTACAGACTCTCCTGATGCCCTCACAGTTTGCTTTGTTTGTAAGATTTCACAAGGATTAGCAGGATCCTGCAGGATATAATGGTGAACACACCTCGGGCTATATGGCCTCCTCCTTGCCACACAATGGCCATGTACATTATTTTTGCCAAGCTGTAGGCAGTGTATTCAAACTGCAATGAATCTGTGATCAATACAAAGAGCATTGGTGTTTAATGAGTGTTTTGATTGTCCCATGAAGAGAAACATTCCCCAGCTCAGAGGAGAGGGCTGCATTTTAAGTAGTCACCGCTGTGGGGGGGATTTTTTTTCCTTACTGTGTTTTACATTTTCTACTCTGTCATATCCTTGGACTTTGGCTTTGAAGAGAAGCAATGCAGCAGGCATTCTTTATTGATTAGCTGGTAAATAAAGTGGTTTCTTTGATGTGCGGCATCTCTGTTTTCTGTACAAATTGTATTATTCTGACTCCCTGTAGAAGCAGCTCCATGTGGTTGGCATTAACATAAACCGAGTTTTGTTAGCTGTTCATCTGGCATCATAATCTCAACATACAAAGCTAAAGCTCATCCTGAAAATCCCAGCTTCCCCTTTATGACAGAAATCAATTATAGCACAACAAATTTTACTTAGAAAGCACCTTTCACCAAATTCTCTGAGTGGTACTTAGCTAATAAAGAGTGTTGCAAAATTGCCATATCCACTTCCTCTAGCCCTTTCTCCCTTTCTAATTGCACTACAAAGGCTCTTCATCCCAATTAGTTTTGATTGGGAATGTGCAGTCTTTTGGCTCTGCTTCCTTTGCATGACAAACCCAACCAGAAGGGCATGACAAGCACAGCTGTGATTTTCCCTTCACCAAATGGAAATTAAAAAAACCCTCCTCCTTTGCTAGTAGCCAACAGGAAACCTGCAGACAAGAGGGTTCTGCTTTGCCATTCACCTTCCTGTGCTGGCTCTGCTTTTAGGCCACAGGATTGGCAGGGCCAGAGGCTTTGCCAGCTCCAGCAGCTCCATGGGGCAAGGGGGAAGAGGGGAGAGGAGGAAGAGGGGAGAGGAGGAAGAGCTCATTTCCATGCTCACAAAAGGATTGGGCAGCAGGGCACCCCATAACAAACATTCACATATCCCAGGAGGTACAGTATGGAGGAGGGCACTCCCTTCTCTGCCAGAAGACACCTGGAATGTCCTGGTGGAGGTACCACACACAGGTTGATGAAATCCCCTCCTCAGCCAGCCTTCTCCATCACCCCTCGTGCTTCCCAGACTTCCTGCCCTCTTTAGCAAGAGTCTCTTTCTTCCAGAACCAGCTACATGAATCCTTTCTTTCAGACCTCTCTGTTTTCTATTCCAAGCATAGAAAACCCTTCACTGGAATTGTGTTCAGCAATACAAAGCCAGAGTCCATCAACCAAACAATAAATGCTTTTAAGAAGATAGAATCAGATTTTTCCATTTTTCTATTCATTAGTTATTTTTACAGACTTCTGGAATGTGCTTGGCTAAGGCCAGCCCTGCTTTAAAGGCTTTCACCTCTCTCTTATGCCTGTAGGAAGACGATTGGAGTTCTGTCTTGGCCTCACACCCCCTCTCTTGCAGTTTCCAGCCATTAACTGGAGAAGAAACATGACTAAATTACCAGCTCACACAGCAAATTTAATACCCACATTTCCTGAACTTCCCACAGTGTTCCCTATATATTGTGTGGCAATGGGCAAAATCCCTCTCCCTTATCATTGTAATCCACTGAAATTTAATGATTTCAATTTATCCATTCCATTAAGGGTTATTCAGTGAAATCTTCACCTAATGGCAAAATCACTATTGACCTCAAGTGACACTGAGGCTGAGCCACTGAGTTACAATGAATACAGAAAGTGAGGGAAGCCCATGTGACAAAGGAGTGCAAAAAGGGTGGGTTTTTAAGATATACTTAAAAGCAGCTAACACTGGGAGTGCTATGACTAGAGCACGAGCATGAGTTCAGCCCAGGAGCCTTCTGATGGTGAATAACTCCCCTGCACCCTGCTCCAGGCTGCTGAGGTTTCATCACTTTCTGGACCCCAGCTCAGCCCTTTCATGTTAGCTTGTGTAAGCTAAATCACACCTTTGAATTGTCCTCTGCACCGTCCCTCAGCCTTTCATTCTTCCCCTCTGTCTGCAAAACTGGAGATCCCTCCTTGCCTCTAAGCATTGTTCTGTGGAGACATTCTTCTAATTTGCAAGGTGCTGAGATATTTCAGTGCTGAGGATCTTTGACAGATACCTCTCCAATCCCCCAGAGGTACTTACCTTTCAGCTTTTCCCCAAACATAGTAAGGAAGACAGTGAAGTTAATAGGACCTGGCGCCTCCTTCACCATGTCTTCAAGCTCTTCATTCTTGACATTCAGACGACCTGCAGCAGAGATCATTTTTCATAATAAATCACAAATTGTGTTTCAAAAAACGATTCCCATTCATCTCCTCCCACTGGGGAGCTCAGGGCTCTGTGCAACTTTGCTAATAACATGGTAGAACACAACTCCCAAATACCCCAGTGAAAAAGAAATTGGCAGAGCTGGCTCTGAGTTCAAAGGGTGACTGAAGGAGCAAGAAGGATAAATAACACAGACATGGCCAGCAGTGGACGAGAGAAGGGGAACTTCCAAATAAACTGCTTTTTGATCTGGGGCTTTTTTTTTTTTTTTTTTTTTTTTTACCTCAGGTGAAATATGGGCCCCACTGATATTAATATAGCAGAGATCAAAGTGACTGAAGTGAATCCAAGGTCTCAGTCTTTGCCCTCCTGGATATTGAGACACCTCTCTGAGTAGAGGGCAGATGGATGAGATCCCTTCCCCATCCTTGTGCAGCCCTATTGATGAGAATTTAGACCCTGGCAACCCTCCTCAAATTGAGTGGTAATTTGCTGTGAATGTTCTTTATAGGCATTGAAAGGCTTCACTGAACAGGAAAGATAGCAGAACTTGGCCTTAAGAAATAAATATTTCAGGGTAACAGTAGCTACAGGCCAAAGTTTGCAAACCTCATTGTCACAATAAAGAGTTCAGGAGCTTCTGCTCCTTGCACTGACTCTGCTGGCGTCTGATTCCACCCCGGGGAGCACTAAAGATTCTTATCAAGCTCTTTTTAATAAGCTCCAGATGGCAAAAGCCCAAATGCCTACATCACTGTAAAAGCCTCAAATTCTGCAACAAGGATACAACTCCAGGTTTGGGATCATGAGCGCTTGAATTTTTTATTTCCTTGGGAAGATTTGCTCTGATCTGCTTGACATTATCAAGGTTGTGATAGCCATGGAATGGACAGTACCTAATCTCATGACATGCACATTTCACCCCACACAAACTCCCAGCAGCACAGAACTTCACACGAAGCCCTCCTGGGTTTGTGTGGGCAGAGGGGCAGCTAGTCCATGACTGCAGTGCTAATCAGTGGATATTCCATGGCTCCCAGATGAAAAAGCCTGGATTCACAGGCAAATCAGAAATGCCTGGCATGGACCCCTGCTTGGGTGGGCTTCTTCTGAAATAGTTGCAGGGGAGGGATCAGACCTTCATTCCACTCCCTGCTCAGGACACTTTCCAGCTGGAGCTCAGTAGTGAGATCCCAACCACCCCAGGGAGGAAGGTCAAACAGAACAGGTTTCCCTTTGCCCCCTGTGTATCTCATTTCTTCCCCTACTGCCATTCTAATACCAACCTTTCTTCTATGTTTGAAATTCAGACAGCATATCTCTTAAGTATTGAATTATTCGTTTACCTAGTGCAGCAAATGTGTCTCTCAAATCTGCTTTGTCAATAAAGCCATCCCTGTTCTGATCCATGATGGTAAAAGCCTGTGGGAAGGAAAAGGAACAGGAATTGCCATTTCCATTGCACAGGACAGTGCTCCAGTCACACACGTCAGTCCATGGGAGGATGATATTCATGCTGTAAAAAGGAATATTTTACTTCCTTTGATTCCTCCACATCATTGCACTTTCCTCACTTTCAACACATTACTGTATCTTGGCAAGGGGCTTAATTAAACCCACCCAAACTTCTTCTTGCTAAATTAATGCTCAGTGCAGCGTGCATTGGGCTGAAGCCAATGCTGGCAGCTCCAGCCATTCAGCCCTTAACCCATAAAAGTTTGAATTAGGGAGGCTTTGGTCAGGGCAGATTCAGCCAGAGTTTGCTCTGTGTTTACACTTTCCCCATACCCCATTCCTTGAATGAGGCTGAAATGTTTCTATAAAGCATTTCATTTCTGTGGATATCTCTCTGCTATCAGCCTGAAGTCGATTCCTCCTGGGCCTTAGAATGATCCATCACACAGAGATAGCTGAACTTTCAAAAGTACAGAGAAATGTAGGTTCCATAAGATTGTTTATTCAAAGTTTTTTCTCCTTTCCAATACACTGCATCTTTGAGACTGTGCTGTGTGCTCTGACTGACACTGATGTGCTGACCTTAAATACCCTTGTCAAGCAAAATTTAACTTTTGACAGATAAAAACAGTTGGGTTTTGGTGTTTTTTTTTTTTAATTTTCAGCCAACACAGACTTGGTGTGCTCTAACCATTGTTTACCAAGCCAGCTAACTGCTCTATCTGTTTACCCATTTGTGTGTCCATCTCTTGGCTGCCATCACACTTATAATGTTTCATTGATTTGGAAAGATTTTAATGACCTGAAATTCCCCGGGTCATGCCATGGGGAATAGGAGTTGTTCCTGGCATGACTCTGAAGCTGGTTATCTGTCTGACAGGCACATCAGTATGGGACAGTATCATCCCAATGGCCAGGAATTATTCTTTCCTCAGACAGTGTTCCCCTGAGATTACAGTAACTTGCAGAGTTTTGAAGTCTGCTGCCCTACAGGGTGCATTTCTTCCCATGAACAAGTTATCTCCACATATCTTCAGGTATTTCCTCCTCCAGTTTCTTGCAAAGCCTCACTGCTCACAGCCCCGTTTGCCCATGAGGCTCCATTCAGCATTATGTTCATAATCTTATATTTACCTTCCAAACCATCCCCTTACAAAAAATTAAGCCCAACTCTTTAGAGATGTTTTGCCCTTGCTTTAAATGGTGATTCCCCACAATTTGGAAGCAAAAGAGAAAGAAGGTATGAAGAGCAAAGCCAAACCCAGGCAGCTCTCGGGAGACAGGAGGAGCATCAGGCACTGTAATGGATGAATTTTAAATAACATAACAGCAATGCTGAAACATTTGCTGATGAGCTGGTTGAAATCTCTAGATAAAAATATTCTAATCCAAACCAGGTTTTCAGAAATATGTGTCCCAGATATGCAGTTCTTAGACACAACATGGTTTTGGGTTTCACTCGACCACTCCTCTGCCTCATGCTTTTGCCATTATTCTGCCACCACCCCCCTAGAAATGCTCCTGGTATTATCATATTTAGAGAAGATCAAATAATGGCATTTTGTCCAGTTCTTTGTGTTGGTCCATCTTCAAACAGTAATTCCTGGAGAAAATAAAATGGAGGTTCCTAGGATATAGAGAAGAAGTGGGAGAAAAGATGCTCCCATTGACTGTGGGGAAATGATTAGTGATTCCAATTAATTTAGCTGGGTCATATTCCCAGGCCTTGCCTTGGGTTTGGTCTCGTCCATCACTGAGCATTCCTGGTGGGAATCCTCAAGAAAAGTAAACGTGAAAGCCACATGAAAGCACAACATGAAACAGCAGACATTTATCTCACTGGAAATTGCTTTGGAGACATGAGTTAGAAAAAAATGGGGAAAAAATCAGTAATTTAAAATGACAAACCAGTGAAGAATGTGATGGTCTCATGGACTCTCTAGATTGTCCCCACAGAAAAAGAGCACAAACTCATCAAACAGATTATCTGTCTTTTATATGCTCCAGCTTTTAGGCCACCCATCAGTTTTACCTCCTCACAGGTAACTGGTCAAAGAACCTGCAGTGCCTGGAACACCAGATCCCTTGGGAGCTGGAAGTTGCTTTGTTCATCTCCACATGTTGTCTTGCTTTATTGGCATTTGTGGAGAAAGCTGAGGGCTTCTTGGCCTTTTCATTTCTCATTTGTGGGCAGCATTAGAAGGGCACAGACAAATATTATTTTCTGCTGCTCTTGTGGAACAGAGCAGGAATGAAAGCCCTGGTTCAGCCTGGCATCTCTATTCAGGACAATACTTGAGCACATGAGACTATTATTATTTAAAATACCACTTAACTTTAAACATGTGCTCAAGGGTTTTCCTGAATCAGGGCTGAAGTGGATGAGATGATGCTTTTCCTTTATTTTGGGGTGGGGGCTTGGGTGCTTTTTAAATAAGTCTAGAGTGAAACAGGGGAGTGAGTGAGGGAAGTAAAGAAAGAAAGAATGAAAGAAAGAACAAACAAACACACAAGGAAAATGATCTACCAGCCAAAACCACAGGGATGATTCAGAAAACAACTGTGTGTTCTATTAAAGCAGATGGAGAATTGAATAAGGATTACAAACAAAACCTATGTTATTCATTAGCAATAACAGGAGACTATAGAGAGCAGCAGAGTAGTGACCAACCTCTTTGAACTCCTGGATCTGGGTTTGTTCAAACATAGAGAAAACATTGGAACCACCTTCTATCTTCTTCTTTGCCTTTTTGGGAGCCTGTAATACAAATAAGAAGATCAAATACATATTCCTTTGTCTGTTAAGCACCCATGAAAAGAAATTACATCTTCAACAGGAGGTAAAAACTACACAATCAAGTAATACAAGAGGATTGTGCTTTGTTATTACAAGGTTTTAAAATTCAACCTTATTGACAGATTTAGACATATATATATATATATAAGATTGAATATATATATATATACTTATACAAGGGATAAAAATTGCTGCCTTATTAACAGACTGAGGCTTTTTGCCACTCCCTGCTGTGTCCTGGGACCTGACAGCTCAGACAAACCAGGACAGTTTGTCACTGTGGTGCCTTTGAAAAGGTGAGGGACCCAAAGTGTGAGTCAGCATCCTGCCTGGCGCACTGCTGGCTCCCCCAGGAGTGCCTGTTCCTTGGGCAGGGTCACCTCCACCTCAAAGCATCCCAGGCCATGTCACACAGGGACCACTCCCCTCCACACTGGGCTGCAGAGCCCAGGGCTGACAGCCCTTGGTGTGGAGTGGTGTCACTTGACAATATGAGCTAGAATTGCCAGCCTGCTGATCTCAAGAAATTCCAGAATTCAGGTGAGTGCCTCCAAGGGCTCCCTCTTCCCAGGTCCCATGCTGGGACTGGCAGCCAGACTCCAAACAAGGCCCTGCATGGAGGCTCAGCTCAGGAACTAGAAAGGGAAGTTATATCATTTCCTACTCACGCAGAAATGTTTAGAAATCTGCTTGGTCTGGACCAGCACTGACAGAACAGATTAATCCTTTCCAAGCAGGAGCACCTTTTACTCCTGGAGTCTCTATTCCTGCACCAACCTATGGCACTGCAGTGCAGCACCTCACCAGACCATGTTATTTTAATATTCAAGATAGTCATCTCAAATGAAAGGGCAGGACTGCTTTTCTCACCATTCTCAAGTCTGGAGGCTGAGACAGAGCAAGATTGGGGAAAGAGCTACAATGATATCTAAGAATCTAATGCTCACTAAAAATCAGTCAGAACCAGGCTTCATTAAGTGTCTTTGAATAAGGGCCCAACCAGCTTGTCTAAGACAATATAGTTCTTGTTCTGCAGTAAAGAATAAAATCTGTGATTCCTAAGGATTACAGAAGTGTTTTAATCACAGTGTTATCCTTACTTGGGGCAGGATAATGAGCTGCAATGCCTTTTGAGTTCCCTTCCAGACAGATTACTTTTTTCTTTATCATTTTTACTTTTAAACTTCATTATCATAGTCCCACCTGGTTCTCGTGTCACAGAAAATTAGTCTTACTTAGTTTGGGCTATTCTGCCTGAAACAGAAGGCAACTTCTACTGTCTCCTTTCATCAAAATAAAAAAGCCTGTGAAAGTTCAAATTCAATACTGATTTCAAATATCCTGAGGAACAGAGCAGCTCAAGAAAATATTCCCACTTGACTCTTTTGAAGCGTACATTGTCTGATCAATTTAATTTGCCAGGCAGATTTCTGCACTCAGCCACCCTGGTTTAGATCCCAGGATATGGAAGGGGGGAAATTAGGGCAATGTTAGACACTCTCCCACATACCCACACTCCAGACCTGTCAAGCTCCTATCAGCTAATTCAAAGAACTAAAATCTGGAAATAGGAATGGAAATTAAGTGAAAAACATACTTGTAGTGAGGATAAAAACAAGGATAGAATGCCACCACAGGCATGGAAAAAAGAAGTTAATAAGTGGAATTTTTAATGAATGTAGAAATATTGATTTTGGAATAAACAGATTCCCTCCTCCTCCTCCACATGAAATAAGTGTTATTTTGAGCAGTAATGGGCAATCTTCCACATAACGTGAGGTGCCTGGAGGAGGCTTTCAACACTTCCAGATCGAATGGAAATATTCAGAACAATCCTATGTATTTACATATATTTGTTCCCTGAGGTAAAGGGGAAGCAGATGTTACCCAGGGGAGAGCACTGCCAGCTGTGGGGGCACTGCAGGGCTGGGGGCCTGGGCAGGGCACTGGGGCTGGTTCTGCTGGACACAAAACAGGCTCTGCCCTCCTCATGGTCTGCTCTGCTGTGGCCAAACACAGCATCCATGCTCAGCTTGATAAATTCCCCGTGCTAGCAAGCCATCTGCATTTTTTCAGCCATCGCCACAGCCACAGACAGTGGGGTCCAGCTCTTCTAAATGCCAAACGCTGGCAATTCCTCCATTATTCCTCAGTTTATTGGGTTCTCTGGGCTGTAAGGCTTCAAGCAAGGGCTATAGCTGCAAGGAAGGATTAGATAAATGCAAAAGCTGCAGCTCAATATCTATTAGAAACACACCAGCAAGTCAAAAACCACCCAAAAGGCTTCTGTACATTAGTGAAGTCCTTTTCAAGGCAAAGATTGAAAACTGATTGTACAGGGAACAATTACTGTAGCATCATAGAATCATAAAATGTTTTGGGTTGGGAGGGAACTTAAAAATTATTTACTTCCAGCCTAGAAGAAGTACTAGAAAAATTCATCCTAACATATTTGTTCACAGTTACTCTCTGCTTTGTTGTCTCCAGAGATGACAGAGAAGATCAGTGCCCATGATGCTCAATCAATTTTTAGTTTTTCTGTTGAAGGTCGGGATATGGATCCCATTCATGACCTGCTCATAAATAAGAGGGGGCTGAGACCACCACCACATTTCACAGGGGCCCATGAACAGCTGCCAGCTGGAGTTGGTTTCCATCACCAGGCTGAAGCTAAGTCTTGTAGCATCCAACATAGAGCACCTTGGATTATCAGTTCCCAGTACTGGGAATGCAGCTTACCTGCTCTAAAAAAGCCAGAAAATTCATAATCACAGAAAGAACTGCACCCCAATTTTGCACAAGCTGTGGGCAGGGAGGTGCTGTGAGGGGGAAGGCTGAGGGAGAAGTAGGTGGAGCAGGAACAGAACAGAGTTCATTGTTTTTCTGGTGGGTAACTTGAATTAAAAGACAGCTCTAAGAGAACAGAAATAGGTCTGTGTTACAGAAAAGAATAACTCTGAGAATAGAATAGTTCTGTGCTGCTGTCTGACAATTCCAAACACTCCAGAATTTTTTAATGAACACAGTCAGGATTCTGACTCCAGAGTCTCTCTCTGAAAGAATGGCACATTAAAAGGAACATCACAGAGCTGAGCAAACGTATGGCTTCTGAGACATCAAGGATTTAGTAGGTGACCCACAGAGGAGAAAGTGGGTGACTGACACATCACTTCTGCCTGCCTTGATTTCCCCACTCTTGAAACCAAAGTGTGCCAGGCTGCACTTTGCAAAGATAGAGCAGCTCTCATTGCAACATGTGCTGTGAGACTGACATACAAAACGTGCCAGATGAGAAACTGAAGAGCTGAGGGTCCCCTGGGCTCGGATTCCGAGGCCTCAATAGCACAGCAGTGGGAAGAATGTTGCAACAACTGAACAAGCCTATTAATATTCCTGCCTGAGAGTATTAATCATCCCATTGTGAAGAAAACAACACTTCACTTTAGAGGAGAAACCACAGGCTTGTCGCGTATCACTCATTTGTCTTAGCAGTGTTAGCACTCTTTCAATTAGCCTGGATTTTAAAGGGTCTTTTTTGTTGTTGTTTTATTTGGTTGGTTTTGGTTTGTTTTAGAGGCTTTAAATGAAGAAATGGAAGCATACCAAAATCTGGTCCCAAGAAAACTCTGTTGTACTAGACATTTTCTTTGAGCTGAGTTTCCCTCACTGAGGTTCTTTATGTTTCTCCTTTCTGGCAGTGTCAGGGAGCCCAAAAGAACCAGGGTGTGCAGGGACACAGGCAGGCAAAGACAATGAGTGTGTGTGGCCTTTGCCTCTCTGGATGTAAGAAAAGGGATCCATTTTTTATATGTTGCAAAGGTGGGAGGGGGGTGATGTTCAAGAGAATCAGAAGGAAATTTGATTTCAGGGTGACCTAGAAGATAAGGGGGTGGGGAATCAGTTTCTGTCTCTACATACAAAGGAGGCAGGAGATGAAAATACCTTGTTCCTACTTCAGAACATGAGGCATTGTTTGCCCTGATAAATTCACAAAGAGGTGATGCCAGAGCAGATCCATGACACTGGATTATTGCAGAGCTTTATCATCTCCACTCCTCAGTGCATTGTGAACACAACCAAGAAAAATATGGAAAACCAGGCAAGTTGCAGCAGGGTGAGCAAGGTCCCCCAGTGGCTGCTCAGGGACACACTTGTACCCTTCAGTAAGCAGGAAGTAACCAACCTCCACCTGGCATTTCCTGCAGCACAGGAACATCTCCTTTGGCAGTCAGGAGAGCTGGGCAGCACTCTGCACAAGCCACAGCTTTGGTTTGGTTTGGTTTGGTGTCATTTGGTTTGGTTTGGAGTGGTTTTAGGGAGGTCACTTCCTTGTTTAGCCCACCATGCTCTAAGCCCCTCAGAAAACACTCTTAATACTTAACAGTGGCACAGTGTGGTGCTCCTGACAGCAAAGTCAAAAACAGAAGCAGAAACACTTCGCTACTCAGCCACTTAATGTGTCTTCTTCTAATTTTTCAACCAGAGAGAGCTCAGTGGATAAGCAGGGCGAGAGCCCTGCAGGGAGAAGCAGCAGTGGACACTGTTAAGAGCCTGATTCTGCTGTCTTGTAGCCTTAAGTGTTTATCCAGTCCAGGACAAAGCAGACATAAGATACCACCAGGTTTTTACTGTTTCGCATTTTGTACTTCCTTCCTCTACAACTACATCTACAACTACAGAAAAGACAGAATCATCCATCATTTTGCTCAGACTTTGTCCCCTGCTGTGATCCACTGTGTGATGTCATCTCTCAGTTACTATTACTTTTTCATCCATCACACTCTCTCCTTGTTTTTCATCCACTCTGGGATCTTGGTGCTGACATTTCCTGTCTTCGAATTTCTGTTATCATCAAATACAGCTTCTGAATCAGAAGTTACATCTCAGGACTGGACAAGGGATTGCTGCAGCATGGGACAGGATATTTGTTGATTTTTGTCTCACAGGTTTGCTCTGCTGAGATAATTTACACTGCATCTGCACCAAACATCCCAGCCATGGACAGAGTGGTTTTTTAGAGTGGTTGAGGTCCTTTCCATGGCAGGTGAGCAGCACAAGGCCAACCCAAGTGCATGCCTTGGAGGGAGCAGTCTAGAGGAGTAAGCAACACAAACTGCTCTAAGGGCACAATTTGCATTTCAAACAGGGAGCAGCCTCAGATCATTCAAACAAACCACGTTATCAGAACTGAGAAAGAGAAGATCTTCTTATTACCTGCTCTGCAGTCACAAACAGACCCCTCCCTTCTCATCCTCACTCCATTTCGTGTGTAGTCCCAGCCTGCACACACCCACACACCTTTGATCCCTGCCAGATACAAAATCTGTTGGCCTGCAGCCTCCCTGCTCCACACTCCTGGGCACTCCAGCGTTCTCCTCCTCCCCACAGAAAACCCTTCCCAGCCTCCTGCAGACACCCAGAGGGAAGGCTTTATCTCCCAAACTCATCCCGGAGCAGCAGAGAGCCTCCCAGCCTCTCCAGCCACAGGCTCCTCCACCCTGAGGACCCCAAATTCAACAGCTGGGCCCAAACCCAACAGCTGGTCCTGGGCACTCCAGCGTTCTCCTCCTCCCCACAGAAAACCCTTCCCAGCCTCCTGCAGACACCCAGAGGGAAGGCTTTATCTCCCAAACTCATCCCGGAGCAGCAGAGAGCCTCCCCAGCCTCTCCAGCCACAGGCTCCTCCACCTTGAGGACCCCAAATTCAACAGCTGAGCCAAAACACAACAAATGGGCCAGAATTCAATAGATGGGCCAAAATTCAACAGATAGGGCAAAATCCAACAGCTGCTTTTCCCAACCCAGTAAATCTTCCTCCCCTTCGTGTGAAGAGATGAGCAGTCCCTGTGTGCACACACGGGGCTGTCACACACACGGATGGACACACGGTCACACAAGCATATATGGGGACACACACACTCATATGGACAAACACAGGGACACACAGTCACACACACAGGGACACACACACACAGAGACACTCCCAGGGCTGTCACACACACTCACATACACACACACAGGGACACTCCCAGTGTGTCACACACACTGACACAGACAGGGACACTCCCAGTGTGTCACACACACTGACACACACACAGGGACACTCTCAGTGTCACACACACACACACACAGGGACACTCTCAGTGTACACACACACACACACACAAGGACACTCCCAGTGTCCAACACACACACACTCACACACCCACACACACACAGGGACACTCTCAGTGTGTCACACACACACACACACACACACAGGGACACTGACACACACACATACACACACAGAGCAGTGGCAGCAGCAGCCCCGTGTCAGCTGCCGGGGTCACTCAGCGTGGCCGTGCTGCGGTCGGTGCTGCTCTCGGTGCAGGTGGCACATTCCAGCCTGCAGAGCACCTCTGATCAGGATCCAGGCTATTTTTGGGCACGCAGTTCCCCTCCGCGTACAGAAATGTGCTACGAGGAGTCACTCGAACTGAGCAAACACCGGGATGTTTGGGGAATAAGAAAACTCTTCCCTCTCCCCGCTTGTGCCACTGCCCTTCCTTCTGCCCAGCAGCACGGAGCGTGCAGGGAGACATCACAGACCCAGCTCGTCTGAAACTCCCTGGAATAAACAGAGAGCCCTAGACAGTTCTCAGAACTCCATTCCACAGCACTTGTGTGGTCTGCTCTTGTTAGAAAAATTATCTCCCTGAACCCTGCCTCTCTCACTGTCATCAGCCCTGGATGTCAGAGCCTAGTAGCACTGGCTGACTTGTAATTATTTTTTACTATGCTGCTTTGTCTGCACTAATCCTTTGAAAGTAGCTTTACTGCACATCTGAAATATTATGATGCTATAAAACCTCTGTAATATTTATAAATCCCTTAAGACATCATAAAGAGAGAAAAAAACCTCCCCACAGAGTTCATCAAGCATAATTACATATACATTTCCCTCTGATTAATAAAAAATGATCACTTCCTTATGTAAAGATATTCTTCAGCTTTCTTTCATTAAGGCTATTTTTTTCTTTCCATTTTAAATCTGTTTCATGTGTCCCTGTATAGTAAGGTACCTCAGAAGAGATTTTCCCAAAACAAAAGGCACAATGAAAAGAACCACCACAGAGCATCGTCAGTTGAGCTGGGAGCGAGGAGACAGACGAGTCTCTCACTATATTTTCACGTCTCCTAACTTAAGCATTTCATCACAGAATGTCCTGGAATATCTTCAAACATCAATGAGTGTTGGTGTGTCATTGAACTAAACAGGCAGGGAAAAAACTGATAAGTGAAATCTTGGGGAAAAAAAGAAGAGGGGAAAAATAAAAGCTAAGACCCAGCACTTGTCCCCCACCCCACAAAAGGGCTGGCTTAGACTTTACTGAGGCTGATTAAAGGGAAACCTGTAAATCCACACCTGAAGAGGCATAATCAGCACAAGGCACTGGTCCCTTCTGAAACACTGGTGAGGAGCAAGATTAGTGTGAAACCACTGACACTGGGCTGGCACTGGATGAAACTGGAACCTGTTTTGTGCATGGATTTCAGAAATGCCATTGAATGTGGTTTTGCCCTGCTCAGAACAGCACGTGGATCACATTCATCACCTGCTTAAATAGGATCAAGTTTGAACTAAGCTTTGAGAAAGCTTTTCATACACAACTCCCTCTCTGGTGTTCTCCACAATCAAATATTCCATAGCCCCAGGGAGCCACAGGGCAGCATTGCTTTTAGACAGACTGAAAAGGACCTGCAAAAAGGAGCAAAATAAACAAAGGCAAAATCACCTGCTCTTTTTTTTTTTTTTTTTTCCCCTAATACTGTTGTAGTAATTCCTCTGAATTTGCAAGAGACGAAGATCTGCCTGCTCTGCCCACAGTTCCTTAGGCAGGAGTTCTTTGCTTTTTGGAATCACACCAAGTGAGGTGGCTGGTGCAGTCCCAGAGCTAAAAGCCAACAGTGAGCAGGGCAAAGACAAGACACAGAAATTTCTGCAGTGCTTCCTACTTCTCCTCATGGTCACAAGAGCAACACAGTCACAATTCCAGAGCAATCCCTTTCCCTCAGTCCCCATCACACCACAGCAGATTTTAATTCTCTCCCACACCAGCCGTGCCAGGTGTGTGAATGTGGGACAGAGCTGCACAAACTCTTCCTTTCTGCACATTCATCTGTGTCCTGTGCCTTCCTCCTTTGTGAAATACATGCAGAGCAGTCCTTGGGAGTTCCCAGCTCACTCTGTGGGGTATATCAGCATTCTGGATGTGATACTAAGATGAGATTTCATGGGATGCTGTGTGATCATTCCTGCTCTGCTTGAATCATAAGAGTCAGAAAGAAATACAGAGATAAACAGACATGGGGAAGGATAAAACCTACCATGGTGCTGCTGCTCCTTTCACCCCTGCTCTGCCAACCAGTCAGCCAGCAAACACAATGCCAATTGTCTCTTTATATAGTGTCACCAAGGAATAAAAATATGCCTGCTCCAAGTTTAGACAATAGATGTAAGGTTGGAAAAGTGCAGTAATTGGATCCCAATACCATTCCAAGCATCTGTTCCATGCACAGCTTTTGCTTTCACAGAAATAATGCAGCAGATAAGTAGAGGAGGCAGTTGGGATACAATTGTACAGCACTCACAGCAAGCTTGAGCTGAAGGGGTTTTCCCATGTACTGCTAAATAATGAGCACAGGGCATGCACTGGAAGATTTTAAGTGGACATGGCATCTTGAAAAAACAGGAAGGGAAACACATTCCATGAGAAAATGCTGGGGAAACCAGCAATCAATCCTGGCCACTTCAGTAGCCCCAGAGCCTGGTGCAGGCATTCAGAGCTAAAGCAAAACATCTGAGCCTCTGCAGAACTGCATCTACACCTGGAGGGTGGAAAAGCACCTCTCTGCAGATGGCAATAAAGTGACTCAGGGCAGGTCTCTTTCCCCTGAATCTATAAAAATGCCTGAAGTCCAGGGCTATAGTAATTACAGGGTAACCCTGACAAGGGGAGGAAATGTCGAGGAGGACTCCATTTTCTCAGAAGGTTAATTAATTACTTTATTATATTATTCCATACTATATTACATCTAAACTGAATCTGCACAAGTGCCCAACTGCACTCAACTGCCCAGAATCTCATGACTGTCAGCTGACAGTCCTGACACAGACGTGGATTCAGTTGGTTAATGAATCAAAACACACCAGAATCTAATTACCAATTCCCTTCAGGTAAACAATCTTCCACAATGCATTCCACTTGTGAACAACAAGAGGGGCAGCAACTGAGATAAGAATTGTTTTTTCTTTCTCTGAGGTTCAGAGAATGTTAATCCCAGAAATATCCCTGGGAAGCTGTGCTTTGCTTTTCTCTGTGAAGAGAAATGCAGCCACACGGGGCCCTATCCCAAGACAGTGCAAAGTGGTGGAGAGTCATGGACTGCAGAGCATGAAAGAAGAGGTGTGTGGTAATGAATGTGGCAGTGGGAGCAGGAAGGGAACAGGAGGCAGCGTAGGAGCCACAAGGGCTGTGTCTCCCAGGGAATGCTCATGGACATTAATACACATTCCATCCCATTGGAATTACTGCAATGAGCCAAAACATTAACCACTATGAAATTGCAAAATTCCGCTGACATGAAATCACGGTTCCTAAAGGTCTGATCTCTGTGTCTCTCAGAGTATCCATGCAGGAACATCAGAACATTAAATTCAGCAGAAACAGTAGGGTTTTTCAGGAACCTGCATCTGAAATTCTTCTCTCCATCAGTCATCCCAACCCTGAGTCACAGCAGTGCTCAATCAATTAACTGAACTTTGAGACAGATGTGCATTCAAGTTTCTGGTTGAACAGGAACCTTGTTCTTTCTCCAGATCCAGCCCCTTGCAGTGCTGTCATCTCTAATCTTAGATCTGACTGTGTGCTCTTCAGGGCAAGGACTGCTTAGTGTTGTGGGGCACCTCAAACACCTACAGGGATAATTAGGTAATAAATAGGCATAATACAGCTCATCTGGCTTTAGTGAAATGGCCGTGGATGCACGCTGGAAGTTAGCCTGGTGTTCATCGTTCTGATTTATTGACATTATACCAATCCCCAGGGTAACAGAGCATGAAAAGAAATCCCTCAGTCCCTCTGCCTGCAAGTGCCTGCTGGAGAGTAGCCCCAGGTTTGTGTCCTAGGCTGGGTCTGGAAACCTGAAAAACTCAGAGTGAGGTTTCTGAGGCAAATCCTACACAATTTCCAAGATTCTTTGTAATAAAGATGTATCATGTTCACTGGGTTAGATCCTGATTCATCAAAGCTGTTAAGCATCCACTTAACTTTTAGGGAGGAATAGTCCCGCTGAAATCCACAGACCAGCTGACAAACCTTCATGTGAGAATGTGGTTACTCATTCTGCAGGATTAATGCCCTAATCCCAACAACAGAGACAAATGAGCAGCAGCTTTGTCACCTGGGCCTGGCATTCCATCCTGTGAATTTTGTGTCCTTTCTTGGAAGAATCCTTATCCTTTCACCCAGCCATTTCATGGTTTTCTCCTAGCAGCTCTGTTAACAGACTTTTGTATTGTTTTATTGGGAGTTTTGCTTTCTCTTATCTAGTACACCATCAATCATCATTGTTATTATCAATTTGCTCCTTAGTCTTGTAGCTTGCTTTGCAGGCATTTTTCAGTAGTGCCTCTATTTTCTGCATTGATCTTTATCTTTTCACAGAATTTCTATATTAAATGAATCCTTCCAAGCTGTTTTTAAATGACATGACACATTGGGATAAAACCCACACCACACAGTGTGTTTGTAATGCACATGTCCTGAGAGACCAGAACCCTCTCTGCTTAGTCTGTGAAACAAATCCACAGAGGAATTAAAGGAGACATACATCTTGGCTTTAAAGGTCTGCTTGCTTCTGCAACTGCCTCCAAATTATAGAAAGGCTCCAGACTGGAGAGGGGAGGGAGAGAAGGGGGGAATAACATAAGGACTGAAAAAGAAAGGCTTGAATTTAATTGCCCTAAAAATTTCAATCATTCAATCTGGTAATTAGAGAGCTGGCTGATTCAGAAAGCAATTTCATTTGGAAAAAAAAAAAATAAAAAAAGAACCCAACAAGATAATTGATGCTAAGTGAATATTTTACCTGAAATATTAAATACCAAACTTAAGTCTGCCTCCAGGGCCCTTTCTGCTACCCCTTTTTGATCTGTCTTTCTACTTCTTTGTATTTTCCTCTCACATGACTCAACAGAACAGGACACTCCTTCAGAAAATCAGATTGTCACAGGGACAGGTTTATTTGAACTCTCTGCGCTGTGAAGGAGACAACATAATGATTTATTAGTAAAGAAAATAATAATAGGAAGTCTCCTGAGATGCAGCCTGGCTGCAAATCTCAGTGAAATTTTCCAGTGCTGAGTCTCTGTGTCTGGCCATGAGCAGAGTCTGATGTCCTACCAAGGGGAACATTTTCTTTAGGAGCTGATCAAGTACAGGGTAACAGCTTTCTTTGTCAACTTCACAAGGATTAGCAGAATGTTTCATGTTTAATTCTGGACTCTCTGATGCCACGAAATGATACTTCAAGGTAGAGCTGTGCAGTCCTGCAGAGCACCGTGGGTGTCGGTGTCACGGGGGTCTGATTGCACAGGTCTCTTGGCAGGGTGGAAAGAGGAGCTGCTTTATTGCACACTGCTCAGGAGAGGTAACTGCTCATTCTCTGATATTTAATGGCCTAATGAACAAGGGCAGCATCCCATACACACCTTAAAGGAATGTTGTGTACCTGGAAATTAGGTAGATAATAATTTATGCTACATTTATAGATGGAGAAATGATAAAGAAAAGTGCAAATGACACATTGGATTCTGGTTTCCTGTGCTGTTCTAAGTGCTCACCTGTGCAGCATTTTCACACAAATTGTTACACTTTATTCCTGTTAGTAATGTTAAATTTTAATCTTAAAAGACCTTTTTAAGTGAGATTCCACATCTATTACTGCTCAGGAAGCCCACATCAAACGTATTCAGGTGCCTTTGCAATTTCCAGTTTGATGATCAGGAGAAAGTTTCTGATCTGTACAACATTCAGGATCTAAAAAGGCAGATGACAGGTCTTGGGGACAATCCTTGTGGGGAGATGGGATGCCAGATGCAGTGCCAAACGGAATGTGGCCTTTTTTTGCAGCCAGAAAAGATCCACTAATGCTGAATATGCTTTGTAGGAAATGTGTGGTAAGTACTTCTGGAAGTATTGGGGCCCTTGCAGGTTATTGCAGGTTTTGAGACCAGCTTTATACCACAACATGACTGTGCTCCTGCCCACAGAGTCTCCTGGCCTGCCTTTGAGGGGGTGCCTTCAAAAGAACACCCGTGGCAGTCAGTCAGGCTTGGGAACACCCTGCCAATAGGTGGGGACAATGCCCTGACCTTTAGGAGAGCTGCATTCCATCCTTCACACCAGGGGACTCCAGGTCCTGTGCAAGTCCTGGAGCTGGGCAGGCTCTGGGTCAGGAGTATAAACCAAGCACTAAAGGGAGAACATCAGCTAATTCCAGCAGAGCCACCAGGCACAACCACCAAGCTAAGGTGGATTTCAAGCCCTCCACAGAAATTAGCAACTTGCCTTGAACCACCCACTTTTCCTTAATCAACTTAAATTTATCAGAAGCTCCTGTTCTTTTAAGAGCCATGATGATGCCCTTTTCTTTTCTCTGTACAGTTGTTCTCTCAGTGGCTGATGAAATTCTTCATACAGAGGGCAGGTTACCCCGTGCTGCTCAGGAAGTCTGGTCTCAATACTGAATTTTGGAGCCTGGCAACAAAGCAAATCTCAGGCAAGTGAGCCTTGTGTTCACTGTGTACAGAGCTCCTGCAGTACAGGTACAGAAAAGAGGCTATTACAGACACCTCTGCAGAATTTTAGATAAATTAAAAAGTGCAAATCCCACTGTGAATCTCCTCTCTCCATCGAGCAGAGACACAAACACCATTTTGGAAACAGCCAGGGCTGCTGTAACTGTTAATTAAGTTCTGTGCATTTGTTGTTAAGGACAGTAAATGCAAACCCCCTGCTCTGAGCTACCCCTCCCTCTCTGAGAATTCATAGCCACTACCTAATCTGACAAAAACTGTGTACTCTTTTATACTTGGAGGTCACTTTATGTTACTTACAGTGTGTTGCATAATGTCAAAAGGCATAACACAACATAATGAAAAGCAGACTAATATAACTCAACCTGACATCAATGACATAATATGATGTGGCTACTGAGAAATGCACTGTTGTCATTGTTTTGTGTTTTCATCTGATACCTCCTTGCCATTCCAGCATGGGGCATTTGTTGCAGAATTTGGAGAAGAAGGTTACAAACTGAGCACTCCTGATTTTGCTGTGGCTCCCAAAATTTTTGCACTGAGATCAGTTGGTTGGATTTACTGGGGTTCCTCCTGATTTACACTAGCAAGAATCAGGATCTACAAAATCATCACATAAAGAGCAATTAGTTTAGGAAAGCCATCAAGTTGGAAAATGCAGCTCCTGGGAGTAAGGAAATGACAACCCTGT